GCTGGCTCAAGAGGCCAGGGCCGTGGTGTCCAGGCGGAAAGATGGAGAGGAGCAGGGACCAAGCTGGGGAAGAAACTGCAGCATGGACGGTGGCCATGAGAGGAAGCAAGCAGAGAAGAGCCTGAACAAAGGCAAATGCAAACCAAAGGTGGTTGAGGCAGGAGGAAAGGAAAATTGTAATTAATACAATGAAAGCACCTTAGTCTCTAAAAAACACCCTGGGATCAGCTTCAGCTTCTGCTGCGGGCCGGTTGCCTGCCCCGCAGCGCAGTGAAACAGCACTCGGGAGCAACGGAGGTGCTCGTAGGGGAGCGGTGGGGAGAGCCGTGTGAGCGCAAGAGGTGTGGGAAGGGATGCCGGTGCAGCCAGGGAAAGTGAATCACTCTGCCAGGTTGAACTGGTGCTAAGAGGAAAAAATACGAGTGGCCATGGGTGGGGAGCAAACGTCCTGTCAAACTTTCCGGAGAGGTTCCCATGCTGTGCGGGGAAGGGCTGGGAGGGGAGAGGGGACGTGCTGCCGCTCCCAGCGTTAATTATTACCTGGCAGGTTGGGGTGGAAGGGGCTGGTGGAGGCCATCCACGTTGCATTCAGTTTGCTTTCCTGGAGTTTGTAATGCCTCCCATCGGAGGACATCCAGCTCTGCTTTAAATTCCTGCTTGTGGGTACTTCCCAGGTATGCCCAGATGAAAAAAAACACCTAAACTTTTGCTAGCAAGTAGTGGAGGGAACGAAGCTCACCAGAGCCGCAGTGCAGGCTGCTGACTTTAGGCACTAGATGTGGCAGACTTGGAGCTGTAGGTGTGCGGGAAGAGGAGGGACGCATGTCAGGGTGCTGAGAGACTGCAGCTTCAGCAACAAAGTTGAGTACTTCAGGCCACGGTGTAACATAGAGAGAGCTGCAGTCCTAGCACCCCTGCAGGGTGTGCGCTCAGTTCATCCGTCCTGGGCATCCCCCGCTGATAACCCGCTTTCCTTCACTGGGGATTGACACCTGCATCTTATGTGGATGCTGCGTGCAAGCTCTTGGGCTCATGGCGGCCCACCTTTCACACCAGCAAAGCCTGGTCTCATCTACATCCCTCGTCCCGGCTTCCCATGAACCTGGGGGAACGGTTCACAGCTCAGGACCACAGAGTTTGTAAATACAGATAACCACACTGATGGACCATGACCCAAACTTACAGACCCGCTTGCCCCAAACCATCAAAGCAGCGTTCAGTACCGTCAGCAAAGCTGCCTTCCCATGCTGTGAATGCACTTGTCTCCAAAAAGCTTAGAGCAGCAGAAAAGACTTCTGTTCCCTAAGCCAGCGTAGTAGAGCTGTGTATTTTTTTAATGCTAAATTAAAATAAACAGTGCTGCACTCAACAGTCTGCCTGGCTGTATTGTGGGGACAGTTCCTGTAATTCTGTGTGCCCTTGGGGTATCTTACCTAGGTAGTCAAGAGTCTTCAGAGGAAAGCTGTTGAGAGGAATGCGAAACATTAATTGCCAAAGAGCAGCCTTGTTCAGACACTCTGCCCTGGCTTGCCTGTGTGACAGGCGGAAACCTCCCCAAAAGGAATGGGTCCCTTCATTAATAGCTGACCTCTAAGTTGTTGTTGCTCAGCACTTTGTGCTGCCACAAGAGACGGGATTGTCCAGCAGGTAGGGCAAATCCTTATTTTACAAAGGAAACTAAAAATCATTTGAAGGAAAGATGTTTGGGAGAAACCTGTGCTTCCCTGCTCAGCTGGACACGGGGCTGTCCCACTGTGACTGCTGCAGAACAACTGATGATAGTCCCTTTGCTTCTCTTTAATCACCCGGCTGCAGGGAGGTGCAGAAAGCCGTGAACACCGCCCAGGGGCTCTTCCAGAGGTGGACGGAGCTCTTGCAAGATCCCTCCATCGCCACAAGAGAAGAAATCGACTGGACCACTAATGAGCTCAGGAATAACCTGCGGAGCATTGAGTGGGACCTGGAAGACTTGGATGAAACAATTAATATCCTTTCTGTGGTCCTTTGGAGGTGGGGGCATGTGGTTCCCGAGTTCTAGTAAATAGCCAAATACCAGTACTTGCCAGTAGTTACTTCTTGCAGAAATCAGGACTATTTGGGATTGAATTTTGCATTTACATCGGCTTTTCTCAAACTGCAAATGAGAAATTAAGGAAATGTGTTCAGCAAAAGGATTTTCCTTTTGCCTTTTTGTTTTCCTTTTGACAAGGTATATTCTAAGATGCTTTGTTCCAGAAAGCCTATTGTGTTGTATGAATTTGGATTTCTGTGTAGTCAGTCATACTCTAGGCTGACTTCCAGAAATATTCCTTTTCCCTTGTGTTCATCTGAACACTCCTGAAAGCGCTGCACAGCAGCAGAGAACCAAAAAAATGCAAGAGAGAAACCTCATGCTGGTGCGTGTACTGCACAGTACGTTCCTGCCATGCCTATTTTTCCCTCCAGTGTTTTGTACTTTGCTAATCAAATTTTGGGAAAAGGCACGGTGCAATGGCCGCTTGGCCGATCCCCGGTGCGGCACGCTTGGGGTTTGTGTTTCTGTGTGCATACCCCAAACTGCTAACGGGACTCCTTGACTCACTGCCTACGCATTGTTGAGGCAAACCCGCGGAAATTCAACCTCGATGCGACAGAGCTGGGTATCAGGAAAGCCTTCATCACGAGCACGCGGCAGGTGGTCAGGGTAAGGAACGTGGGCTTGGGGTGGGAGCGTGGGGAAGGCAGGGGGAGTGATCGGGTCGTTGAAAAGAAAGCTTGTGGCCATTTCCCTGCTG